TCTCTTCTGTAATTGGATTACACAAAATAAATATTTTTACTTGGAAATAACACCAGTGTGTCAAATAAATGCAAAGCTTTCGTTAAGGCATGTGTTAGGTTATTGAAATTGGAAACTGACGAAAACAGGTGCTCGACCAGTAGATAATAAACAGAAAGAACTCGAATTGATTCTAGCTTTAAAGTACATTTTATTAAGAAATTAGATAATTAGAAATTACGGGACGTCAAGATGTTCAACTCAACATGTTTGTAAATTCCTCACCACCACACTTTTTACAGTAAAAAATGGGCTTCATATCAGCAGTGTCAATCCGATGTGAATCTTAAAATTCTAAAGATCTGCTCCAAAATTGCAATCATAATCTTTTCAATACTGCAGTAATATTAATACCTTTGATTATTTGTTCGATTTACACTACTATTCCCCATGATAAATTGAAGAATGACTACATTCAATAAACAGAGGTTTTTTTCTACAAAATAGAAAACGTAGATACTATTCCTTGTTTCAGGTCAGAAAAGCCTTAATTTATGGAGAACCACATGGATTCTCACAACAACATCACCGAGGATGGTATCATTAAAATGCTAGACCTTTTGATAGACAACATATCTGTGGAGTTTCGTGGATTCATATATCAGCAACCAGTCGGTATTCCGTAAATTGTGCATTACTATTGACAAACTTGTTTTATAAACGTATGAAACAGAATTCATACATAACCTTCCCAAAGACAAAAGGAAAACGCACCTTACATAGTTCTTTAATTTCACTCTCAAATATATTGATAATGTCCTGTCACTCAATAACCAGTATTTTATTTAGTGTTTACATCTCATATATCCAGGTGAACTTCGAGATTTAGAATATTACCGAGGTAGAAGGTAAGCATCATATTTTGATCTCTACCTCCATATTGTTACAGATGTACGATTTTAAACTAGAAATCTATGACAAACGTGATGATTATAAACTTTTCAATTGTCAACTTCCCATTTCTTAGCAGCAACATACCCTCTGCTCCATCGTAAGCTGCTTTCATTTTTCAGTTAATACGTTACGATCATGCATGCTCACACTATACGGAATACATTAATAAGGGTGTGTTCTTTGCACGAAAACTGTTCCAACGGAGTTATGAGAAAGTTCGACTGAAATTCACGAACTGTTTGACCGATACGATATATACGTGTCGCAACTCAGTAGCGACATGTTTTTGCGGTCTTAGATCTTAAGATACCAGTTTAGTCGTCTGATTTGTAATTTTACCGATTTTTTCCTATTTCCGATAGCGACAGTTTGACTAAATGTGGGTTTGCATGTCGGGTAACGCATGCATATGAGGAGATACTTACTTTGTAGACTCACTCTTTCTTGCGCATTATCGAATTTATGAGATTCCCACAGTTTTCGTGTGTTACCTTTATTTGCCACGTTTTGATAAATTTACGAGATTTGAACATCCATTCGGCAAACTACTGTTGCCTTACTTTACCTCCTCACTAAATCAAATTCGCTAATGTTTTGTAAATAGGTTAAAGTTGTTTGGAAATATTTTATAATGTTACCTTCATATTTCTGAATATAATCTTGGTGTATTCAAATTTTTTCACTACTCTTATTGACAAAAAGTATAAAGTTATTAAGTCTGAATTTATATTGATATTTATCATCATGTTAAATTCCAATCAACCACATTTCCTTCATGTAAATATATTTAATTAATTGGTTTTTTTTTTGGTTTTTTTTTTTTAATTTCTTATTTCTGTATTTATTTAATCATTTTAATATTAAATACGCCTTTATATTCCAGTGGGTACATATCGTTCTTTCAAGCTGCTAGACTTGATTATGTACTTCTTTGTAACAGTCTTTATACAAAATCTTCATAAGGCCAAAATGAATATCTATATGAAGCAACATCCTTTCATTTACTTTCTAGTATATTCAAAATTATGTTTTAACGTTTTATCTTTCTTATTCCGGTTTAATCTATATCAAGTTAATGTTGAATATGAATTTGCAACATGATCTTCAGCAACCAACAATCAATCAATTGAATATGCATAAATATTTCAATGAGTACTAGATGGTCGCTCTAGCTGGCCGACTTATTCTTGTACTGGTTTGTAACAAAACTTATACAAAACCTTCTTGGAGCTATGAAACAAATCTGGATAGCAAATCTTTTAATGTCATTTCCTGGTATATTCATGATACCTTGTCATGCAGTTATCCTTTGAGTAAGCACTTACATCTTACAACAAGAAATTAAGGATATTGCAGAGACAAGAAAATTTGAATAATATGTATATATCTTTTTCTTGAAAACAAAGTGTTTTGATCCGGATTAAAAGCGATGAGTTTAGTCAAGGTTATTAGGAAGGGTTACTAAACTATCACTTTACAAGATCTAAAGTCAGCTTCAGGAATTCGTTACAGTGTCCAAATTTCTAAACTTACTAGTAACATTTTAACTTTTTCGTAGATCCCACATTTCAACTATGTCAAATGAAAACAACACTTTGTTCGTCCAATGCGCTTATTTGTATTAACCTTCCCTGGGAACGCTTAAACCCAAATATTTGAAAGCCAGAGATGCATAAACCTTAGTTTCTAGCGATTTATCAATTTATTAACAGGGAATTTTTAGAAAATATATTATAAATCATGTCAGTACCGAAACACTTGTAACTGAGCTGATGACACACGTAGTGGTATCGAACCAGTGCTAGTAATTAAAAAATAACACTTTATAAATGTCGTGCGTCCGAAGCGTTTTCTGGACTAGCTTTCATCAGGATCGCTTAAATCCAAACATTTGAAAGCCAGGGAATGTTTAAAACGTAGAGCTATATTCGGTTGTGTGTTCTTTACGACCTTGACTGGCTTAAATCAACTTTGCCTGATGGAGTTGGAACATTAGTTTCTAGTAACTTCTTAATTTATCAAAGGGGAAGTTTCAGAAAAATCTGATATTATAATCGGGTTTTTTTTCACGTTGCCACTTAAGTATGTTCGCTCACCTTGTTTTTGACTTTTTGTTAAATATTCGGAATCCTTCGATTTTATCAATGTAATGCCATCAAAACTTTTCTTTTCATGATTTATCTTAAAAGCCATTTTTGAAAATCTTATTTAACGCATGATTTTTTCAAACTTGATATATATTTTTTCAAAGAAAAAAGGTGCCAATATTAAATGTATGAAAAATCCAGAAAGAATCACGTCCCGCCAAATATTCAATGGCTTATATCTCAAAAACAAGGACACAAATCTTTCATTGTTTCTGCTTTTTAAGTTCCATTATTTATATACTATCATGTATAACAGTCTTTTAAAAGGCTTGTTATTTTGAAACATAGCACTCAACATCCTCTTTAAAATGATAGTGACTTTAAAATAGTCTAATAAGTGATCCATGCAGAGCATGTGATGCTTGTCTAATCGTTCTATTTGGTCTAAGACCGTTTGGAGTTCATGCATTTCTGTTTAGTTTACTTCCACTGTTGTCTGTTTCACTTGTGAGATATTTACTGGACATTCGTTATATGACTCTGGTTCAGCTATGCAAAATCAAATCGTAATGGGGTAAATTTTGTAGCTCTGTGGGATGTATAAATTCCCAGTCTCCTCTCGTCAAAATGGGGACGTTAAATCTGATGTCTCGTGTAGAGAATGTGCCATGCTCTCTGTTCGTTAAGTATCCCTACAACAACTCATTGAGGGGTCCATAGGGGGTCTTTTGCAAGGCTAAATTTCTATCCCTTTCAAAAATGCCCTCATTTTCCAGAGGCATTCCAAAATTATGAAGGGCACTGACAGTAAGGTTCATTTGAATGTTATCAAAAATTAGATTAAATACCAAAGACTTAGCAATTAAAAGAGGGCGCCTATCTGTGGCACGATTTGCTTGATATTTTATGGGGACGAATACCTGCTACCGTAGCTCAAGAAACTAGACACTAAATAATATAAATTCGTTTTAATCATAGTCATGTCGAATTCAGCTTTGAATAGCGAATAGAGAATAAAGAGAATAAGGTATGTCAAAAAAAACATCGTCATTTACGCCCTAAATTCGAAAGTTCTTCAACCTTCTCTAAATTCAAACATTTTATGAACTTCTGTCATAAACCTACGCCAAAAGAGTATACTAGTGTTTTTAATTCTCTCGACAAAAAATGTATTATAAAGCAATTTCATATGGATATAATAATGCCTAAAAAGATACGTTTCCCAAAACCGAAGACGTCATAGAAAGATGACGGCATATTCCTGCACACGTATTTACCATGATGCGTTTTATTAACAGAAAAAGTTGGTATTTATTATATGCAATCGGTTTTTCAAATGAAGTTAAGACATCTGCATGGAGAAAACAACAAAAGGTCATTATATTGCAGAGTTCCATTATTGCATAAAATGTTTGGTGACGGTATACGGCAACTGACGGTAACTGGTCCTCCCAGTAGATAATCAAATTAATGAAAATCAGTGTTCTCGTTTTCTAGCTATATATTAAATCTGTTAAAAATTCAAATAATCTGATATACCTCCTACTTAACCAAATTCTCTCACTTTTTGAATAAGGACAAAGCTCAGTGGTCAGTGCTTCGGTACTGACTTGATTTATGACATATTATCGTAAGATTCCCTGTTAACAAATTAGAACTTCATTAAAAACTAAGGTTTCAATAACCGCAAACCAAGTTGACCATATATCCATTTGTGTTTGCTTTTTATATTCCTTTTGTCATATTGCTCCTGACGTTTTTACTAATATTTGTACATCCCTGGTTTTCAAATGTTAATATCAAAGCTTTCCTGAAACTGAGTAAAAGTGCTTCCTACGCACAATGTCATAAGTTGCTTAAAATTCTCTTGAAGTTTCTCTGAAATCTAGTCATTGGTTAATGAAGAATTTCGGATATAAAATTTCGACGGACGCTACAGTGCAAATGAAAAAAAAGTGCAATACAAGCAAACATTCCTACCTATTTCCAGCACTTGCTTCTGATACAAGATGTTTGTTCTTCTCTAGCATAAGACAGTTGTATCCATTGTTTGTCAAGTGGAAAAGTGTGGCACAGCCGACCACTCCACCTCCTATTATTACTACATCATATGATTGGTCAGTGATCATGATGGGAGCTAAGGAAGACGACCCTTTAGAAAGAGGGGTCTAAAATATAAAATAAAAAATGGTATATGTATAATATCAGTTAAATTAAATTATCGATTCTTTCGTCAAAAATTAGTTCGGTCTTGTGAATTTTGTCAGCTATTCTGATAATATTATTTTTATGCAAAGAAATTTTAAGTATCAGTTTTATGTTTATGAATTACTGGTTTCATTTTGCATATTCCGAATCTGGTATTTATACACTGAAGATCATTGTGTACCGATGCAAGTCGGATGGTACTGAACATTTATAGTATTCTATATAATCTTTTGATGTGGGTGGGAAAGTGTTACTATGTCCTCCTATAGATTTTTCGAAACACCAATTACAGTAGTTTAACATATAAAAACTAAATTTTCTGTATTAAAATTGTAATTCAAAATGTTACCAAACGTGTTGCTATAGTAAAATTTTGATTGCCAAAGACGAAATTTCAATATAACAAAGTTGCTACTTTTTCATAAAATTTATAAAAGTATAAACATCGTTGTTACACAGTAATCGTATTGAACTTGACATTACTGCCAAAGATAAATTAAACTACTGTTGTGTTAAGTTTATTATTATTATTATGTTTCGGGATTGTCATCATATGTTTCATCGCAATTCAATGCTCACTTTGTATTGTAGCGTGGCATTCACCAATCATTTGTAATATAATAGGAAATGATAAGCATACAAATGAGTTGTATAATAGCACCGTGTGCAGATGTTTTCACGTACATCATAGGGACTCGATTAGCGATATAACTAGATATTTTAGTATACGGACATTGATATATAAAGGTGGTTATCGAAGTACGAATATAAATGACCTAAATTATGGATTAGTCTGTTACCTGAACAAGGTTAATATAGCGGATTATAAATAGTTCGTAACTAATGATAGATGAGTTGATTAGAACTAGTAAAGTATGCACCACCTATATAATGCTTACCGTGTAACAGATTCTTTTTCAGTATTTTTTTTACCTTTAAATGTCACGTGATTCATTACATAAATAAGAACAAGGTAGGGAAATATAGGATGATAAAACCGGATTCGTATAATACATTGTATAATATAAACTTTCAGACGCTTCATACGTTATATTACAGTTTTTAAAAAAATCATCAAAGATACCAGGCTTAAAATTTTGAACGCCAGATTCGCATGTCGTCTACAAAAGACTCTTCTGTTACGCTCGAATTAAACAAGTTGACAGGCCAAATTAAATGCTAAGTTAAACAGAATTTAGGGCCAAAAATTCCGAAAGGTGTTGCCAAATACTGCTTATAGGTTATGTATTCCTTGGTTAGAAAATCCTTAATGTTTCGAACAATTCAAAGTTTTGTAAACATTTAATTTTTAAAAAGTATGAAAATTTCAATGATTCTTCATGTCAAGTGCTGACTACTGGGCTGGTGATGCAGTCGGGGAGAAAACCTCCACATAGTGGTTTAAAAAAAACTCATTAAGGATACAGGTTTACAGTTTTGTGAAAGTCAAGAAGAGCAGTCTAAAAGAGGGACGAAAGATACCAGAGGGATAGTCAAACTCATAGATCGAAAACAAACTGACAACGCCATGGCCAAAAATAAAAAGACAAACAGACAAATAATAGTACAGATGACACAACATAGAAAACTAAAGACTAAGCAACACGAACCCAACCAAAAAGTGGGGGTGATCTCAGGAGCTCCGGAAGGGTAAGCAGATCCTGCTCCACATGTGGCACCCGTCGTGTTGCTTATGTTATTACAAATCCGGTAAATAGTCTAATTCGGTAGGTCACATTCGTGAAAAGGGAAGGGTATTGTAGTTACGACATAAGGACCATATCCGATATCATCTGTGAAACGGTTATTCCACAACGGTCAACCAACTCGTGATGGCGTCCGTAAAATTTACGAAGGGATGATTTCAACTTCAGCATTTGGAACTCTTGGTTTAATAGCTTCCTTGTGAGCAGCAATCCTCTATCAAGGAAATCATGATAGGAAATACAAGCCCGGGAATATCGTATCAATTGGGAGATATATACTCCGTATGCAGGCGCTGCTGGAATGTTACTACATAGAAATGGAAAGTTCACAATTGGGAAGCTGAAATCATCTCTTTTGTCGTAAAGTTTTGTTTTCAACCGACCCTCATTGTCAATTTCTAGATGTAAGTCAAGATATGAGGCATACTTAACTGTATCTGTAGTATCCTTTATCTCTAGTTCGATGGGATAGATTCGTTCAACATAGTCACCAAATTTTGTATTATTTAGTGAGAGAACATCATCTATATAGCGGAACGTAAAGTTAAAGGATATTGCTAACACCTTATCTTTCTTCCTAAGAAGTTCCTGTATGAAGTCAGCCTCATAATAATAAAGAAACAAGTCGGGAAGAAGAGGGGCACAATATACTGAAAACAACGTATTTCAAGAAAAATCAGGATGTTGTTAAAAATAGCTAGAACAATATACAATATAAGAACCAGACAACATTAAAAAAACGAATGTTAATCGGATGAGATAGTCATAAACCATTTATTTTTAAACTCGCTTTAATTGCGTTATGAAAATAAAATGAATGTACAGTTGTATTAATGGCACTTTTGAGAAATCATACTTATTCATACGCTGTCAGTAATTGAGATTAAATATGTTTTTGGGAAAATTAAAAATGAAATGAAATATTTTAGTGATATGGAAGTAACTTTTCTATCATATATTTCTACAATTATAAAATGTTGTTGAAATTGAACATGAAAAAAGAGGCGGAAGATAGCAAGGGGACATGTTAAACTCATATATAAGAGAAACTGACAACAAACTGACAAGAGACCAAAAAGACAAACAAGTCCGGAGAAAGCTAAGGACTGTGTAAACTGAATTTCTATCAAGTCAATGTACCGAAGTTATTGAGTGGTGTTTTACATGTAACAAATCTTTTTGTATATGAAATTGTTATATATGAAAATTTTGACTGGAATGGACTTAATTCTAATTAATTCAATTTAGATCGATAGACAATTTTAGAGAATAGATAAAAGTAAAATACAGTAAAAGTCAATGCTATGTGTTGCAATCTTTATTCTGTCTCATTGCACATTTCAGTTGAATTATTTCAAAAACAAATCGTTTAATCTTTGATTATTTCTACATCCTTTCTGTGGAATTTTTTTTTTTACAGTAAACGGAAATTTGAAAAAGCAAATCACTTTTGTTTAGATTTCATACGATAATGCTTCAATTATTGCATGTGTATACTTATAAAGTGCAAGACAATCTATAAATTGAAAACAAACATAATAACTTATGAGATTATTTGTTACATATAACAGTAATCAAATTGTAATTTGGACTATGACTTTTGTAAATAAGCTCATCAAAAATATAACTTGTGATGGGTTTCAGCTAAAACTGAAGAATGACAAAATCTGATGTAGAAGAGAGATAACTGAAACTTATGAATTTGTATTCTGTTTCAGTATATTTATAACATGAAAAACGAAAAACATACAAGATGGGTGTCACGATTTCAGGAACTGCATGTTTGAGGGGTTTATATTACTCAATCTTTAGTTTTTAAGTGTCTTTCTTTTCGTCTATTCTCCTTAAACCATGGTGGTTTCTGCCCTTTAATTTAATCCAATATATATCTTGTTTTTCAAAGGTTGCAGATTTATCAAAGGGAGAATCAAAAAGTCGATGGGAGACTCACAAATCATGACAAGCGAAAAAAAGACGAAATGTAAACCAGTATTGGCATCGACCAACACAAAACAGTTGGAAGGCCAAATCAAATCCGAAGTTGTACAGCATTTTAAACTAAAGACTAAACTATACGAACCTATCCAAAACCCGGGTCTGATCTCAGTGCTTTGAAAGTGCTAGCAGATCCTGCTCCACATTTGACACCCTTCCTCCTATATTGGTGCTGATAAAAACTCATAAAAAGATACCAGACTTATAATTTAGGACGTCTATATAAGACTCGTCAAAGCCGCTCAAATCAAAACAATTAGAAAGCCAAATATATACGAAGTTGAAGAAAATTAAAATCCGAAATTTCCGAAAAAATGTGCCAACTATGACTAAGGATATCTATTCCTGTTGGTAGAAAAATATTTGTTTTTCGAGCAATTCAACATTTTTTTAACAAGTTATATCAAGTGACTATCACACAATAACGGGTTGGCAATTGATTCTTATATAACCCTAAGACATCGTCAAATTCATCAACCACAGGTAATTGAATTTTTTCAACACTAAAAGTTGACCTTATGGTATTTTTTTTAATTGAAACACGTTTTTCAGGACAACGGAGAAACAATAATTTTACCGGTAGAAACAACAAAACACTGAAACTGAAAAAGCACATAATACAACACTGAAACTTAAAGCAGGAGCATCACAAACCGTTTCAAACAAAACTAAGGGTGATCCCAGGTGCTCTAGAAGGGTAAACGGATCTTGTTCCACATATGGCACCCGTCATGTAGCTCATTGTAAGTACAAATTCTGTCTTAAGTCTCATTCAATTTAATCACAATCGGAGAAAAGATGATGGGAGTGTGGCTACAACAATTGGAACATATCCGTGATCATCTGTGTCATAGATACTCCATTACGTTCAACCAACTCATGATGGATTCCATCTAACTTTCGAAGGGGCGACTTCAACTTTACCACGTTGAACCCCTGTTTCAATAGCTTCCTTGTACATCAAGGCAATCTTGATAAGGAAACGCAAGCTCTGAAATATAGTAACAATGGGGAGATATATACTCCTTGTGCACACCTCCTGGATTCTTGTTACATCATTTTATCTTTACTTCTTCATGTTTTAAGAACCCTTTCAAATATCTCTTACTTCATCTTACCTTTTCTTATATCACGGCTATCATTCGGTATATCGAGAAAAACGATCGTGAAAGAATAAGTAACTGTGGTCAAGTATTGATATTGGATCGTGAAAGACCTGGTATAGGATCGTGAAGGAAATCTTATCGAGAGGACA